TTGTTTAGATGAAGCTGCAGTTTATTTTTCCCCATTAAACCTGTCACAGGTGATAAATAGTGGTTGACTGCTTCTACTGCTCCCTGAAATCAGACAGAAGCCTGAACACTTTTTGTGGACAAGGATGTGATCTATCCAGAGCAAATCATCTGGTCTGAAACTAATTATGGCTTCTCAAGACCCATTGCAAACATGGAAGCTGGTTTTGTTCCAATTTAGAAAACCTGCATGAGGCCCAATTACAAGGCTGTCCTCCGTTAAATCCTCAACAGTGTAAAGCATAGTGTAGAGTGGAACCTGTAAGACTCCCTTCTTTTCTTTTAGAATAACCAAGGGAAGGAAAATTCTGAAATAAAAGTATTTACATCAAGAGTTCCTAAACAAAGCCTTTCCGTTTATCAAGCACATTGCCATTCATTGTGTATAAAATACATCAAACAGAAATCAAATCAAGAGGAGCCATCTGCTGTCGATTCATTCATTCACTGAGGAAGCGTATTTATAAAATTGCTGTATTCCATGCTTCAATAATACGAACAGCCCTGAAGATCAGGTCAAGATAGATCCTCTTGGAGTAATCCACTGGGTGCCCTTCGGATAGTTTCAATTCTTATAAACCTCAGTCTGTATGATCAATAGACAGAAATTAAAGGGACTGTTGCTCAAAATATGTGTAGGATACCAACTTGCCCAAACTCTTTTAAACCAGAATCTCTCTTCTCACAAGGCTTAACTAGATGCTTCTAAAAATCCCACTGGTCTCTTGAACATCTCATATCTTCCAACATGTTCATGTATCAGACTTTGGGAGTGATCTTGATGGTTCCTTGATTGGGGTGTTGTTTACTATTAGCTTGTTTGTCTGAGATGGTGGTTCCTTGATTAGGATATTGTTTACTTCTTGATTGTTAATTTAGTGTTAATCTTAATCTATGTTAATCTGTGCTCATCTAGGTCAGTGGTGGCGAACCTATGGTATGTATGCCAGAGGCGGCACGCAGAGCCTTCTCTGTGGGCACATGCACTGTCGCCCCAGCCCCACCTCCTCCCATGGCCCCCTCCTCACCAGCAGCCCCCTGGAGGAGAGTTGCCCCCAGGCGCGGCCCGTACAGAGCAATGCAGCCAAAGACATGGCAGCTGGGCAGCAGGGACAAGACTTGCTCTTGTGCCTTGTTGCATGCAGATGATGCTGCGGAGTGCGGGCGCAGGGCGTGGCTGCCATGGCGCTGCAGGGCTGCCTGGGCAATCTGCTGTGGCAGGCCGTGAAGGCGGTAGGTGGCCGTGTAGGCGGACGGCGGCACGGGCGGGGCAGGGGTGGAGCGGGGGCAGGCGAGGCGGGTTTTGGGCACTCGGTGTCTAAAAGGTTCGCCATCACTGATCTAAGTGTTCATTGCTGTTCTGGTTCTTTTGTTTTCTTTTTGGCTTTTCGGTTGGCATATAGATATTGTTTAGCTCTATGAGCCTGTTGATGGTGAGTTTCAGGCTTCCAGGAATTCTCTAAGATTTTTTGGACTTGGCTTGATCTACAATGCTTACAGTTTCCTAGTTGAAACTATGGTTAGGCCTGTCCAGAGAAGGAGAAATTTAACTCCTTCACAGCCATAGTTCGGGGGGGGGGGGTTTAAAGACTATAAAATAATTTTGGCAGAAGAAATTAATCAGGGGATGCCTGAGGATTTTACTTCTAACAAAATAGAGACTAGCATTCTCAAGTCAATTACATTCTATTTCTCCCCAAACAAAAACAGTCTAAATAAAACTGACACTACAGTGTTGAATTTGGTACAAAATTTGAAACTGTGATAGTTTTGATTTTTAAATGTTACCATTATGAAAATTTATTTCAAAAAGTATACACTTTTTAAATAAAAAGCAATATAATCTGCATTAAGAATATTTACAGACAATGCAATGTATGTCAGTTGTTACCAAGACACGATGAAACCACAAAACTAATTTAGAAGATGTCCACACACTACATACATATCTATCCCACTCTTTCATATTCAATCCACTTTCATTCTTGGCTCAGAGTTTCTTTTGTTTAAAAAATAAAAAAACTTGCTTTTTATTACATAATCTCCTTAAGTACTACATTCAACTTACTTATTTTATATATGCATTTTCTGCAGACAAATAGTGAAATGTTCTACAGGTTTTTTTTTTTCAAATCTGCCAAACTGGAATTCTGCCTAATAATGTAGACACTAAGGTAAACTGGATTTTTTTAAAAAAAAAAAAACATGCATGTTTACTCAAAAATTGACATTTGCACTTTAAGAGAAGCTCCTGCTTGTTTCTGCAGCAGCTTCCTTTAAAGTTCACATTATAACTTTCAAGCAGTGCATTTATCAGGAGAAAAAAGAAGGCTTCTTATTGTGTTTTCTCTATTGAAGATTTTAATCTAAAGCTGTGACTGTTCTCGCTGTGCATTTTGTTTCTGCTGTGAGTTACAGATTTAATGCTCTAGATACTCACTGATTTCATGCTCTAATACAGTGGTTCTCAACCTTTCTAATGCCGCGACCCCATAATACAGTTCCCCATGTTGTGGTGACCCCAACCACTTATACATCACCGGGTGCCAGGGGTGTGGCCAAAGAAAAGGGGGGAAAAATGGCGGACAGCCTTGTTTGGCGACCCCCGTGAAATGGTCATTCGACCCCAAATGGGGTCCCGACCCACAGGTTGAGAACCACTGCTCTAATAGACAGTGCATATATATATTAGAGCATTAAATCAATGAGAATCTAGACCAACCCAGGTTTTACTAATAATATTTTAAAAGAAGAGAGTCTCTGAAAATAACAATATTGACTTTGGTCCTGTCACCACGTACCTGTGGTTGCTATGGAGAATCTCTGTTAAAACATATGTCTGAGGACATATACCATTCATGCTTTAAATGGAACCTCAAAAATAGCAGCTGCCTGTTTTTTCAGCAGTAATATCAAAGAAGAGAACAGTGATCAGAAAACATATGAAGTCACAAAAAGCTTTAGCAGATCATTTTTCCACTCCCACTTCCATAGTGTAAAAATAGTATGCCAAAATATTTGAAGGATGAAACTAGATCTACATTATTTCCTATCATCAATATTTGCAGCAAATAAATCCTCTGAGAAAACCATAGTTTTGATTTTAGTTTATTGTGAGCTTTTCATCTCCACTAGAGCCCATAGTTTCTCCTAAGGCCAGCCTCAGTTGAGAAGACAACATATCTACTGTTAAATTTAGAGGATCTAGAATTAATTGAAGTGATTAAGGTGGACCTAAGTTTAATTGAACCATACCATTTACATGGAGGAAGTCAGGAAATAAATAGGTTCTAAAATAGATAAATAAAAGAAAACAAACAGTCCATTAAAGTTCTTTTGGCTGCAAATATTCATTATCTTTGGGCACAGTTTGTTGCTATAAAGTCTGCAAGGTTCCAAAATAAGTTCCAAGTCATAACATTTGAGCAAGCAATTAATTTAGCAATTTCTAAGATCTGAGAAAAAAAACACTTCTCAAAGTACAATTTTTCCCCATGCCATGACTTCACTAAGATCATTCAAAGTACAATCAGACCAAAATGCCACCTCCCTTCATACATGGATGATCATGCAATAATAAATTCCACCACAGAAATGCCAATTAAATTAATGCAAGCAGCAGAAAAGTTAATTAAAGAGATATACACAAAACTTTTGATAAATGATGTAAGCTGGCATCATCTGTCATCCCAAAGCCTTCCAAAATACTAGGTTTTAAATAGACGGACCCTTTACATATATGGCAGAAAATCAAGGTAAAACAATTTGTTAAATGTCCAAAAAAAGCCTTCTACTAACAAAACAGTGGCATACTTTTTGAGCATGTTGAGATGTTCCAGAGCAGGCTTTGATCTAAGAGCTTATGCCTGCTTTGAAAAGGGCATTTTTGTTTCTCTCTGTCAAGCAAAAACAAAATTGCAGAGAAGAATGCATTGTAATTTTCTCCTCACTTTATTTTTAGCTAACCTAAACTATAGTATGTGAGTTATCCACACAAAGTCCAGAGTCTACTTTTGGCACAACATCAAATCTCAGCCCCTGAGCAAATTGATCAAGGAGGGGAAGCTGTAACAAGCAACAAGCAAAAATTTACCCAACCTATCTCAAGAAATGTGTATTCAATATGACAGAAAATCTGTACTGTCTTGCTCTTAATTTGGAGCAACACGTCCAACATATTTTAACTTTAGATACAAATATTACCTATTCCATGCAGATAGACAATCCTCTCCGAAATGAAACACCCCAGTTACTCAATTTCAGATCACCAGTGGTTACAGCACCTTCCTGTTCCCTTCTTAAAAAAAAAACAAATTACCCATAAATTACCCCCTGGGGAGAGATTCTCCAAGTACATTACAAATTCTTTTCTGCTAAGTGTCATGGTTCCGACAGATGAAACTCTTTAAAAGAACTTTGAGGCATTGTTTATCTTAAAGAATCTTTTATTCGAGAAACAAATATTGGCACTACATAGTTAAAGCCAAAACCTGAATTCCCCTCCCCTGGGCACAAAGTAGCAAAGCACAATTCCTTCCTCCAATTAACAGTCATAAATCACATTCCCCAATTAGCTTGAAGCACTGGCTTTCTCCCCAGCTCTCCAAATCTTTATCAGCTCTGGACGCAATAACCTTGATTCCCATGGCTGAGTTATTATTGTTATGACTAGCTGGACTCTCATCCACATCCCCCCTCCCAACATCAACTAACTCTAAAAGGGAAAGGGAAAAGATGGCTACATTTCCATCTGTTGTCAAAGCAAGAACATCCGATGTTAGCAGTGTTGACCCAAAGCTGATCTACAGGAATAGTTTTTAATAAAGCCCTAAAAGGAGAATAAAACTGTAGAGTTAACATTTTAAGAAAGCTAGACATAAATGTAAATCTTACATGTAGACCATGCTTGTTAACCTCCCTGAAAATTTGACAGCTCAGAACCAATGAAGAAGGATTACAAACCTCGTGCATCGAAGAATTCATCATCAGAGCTTTCCACAGAGTCGATGCCTTCCATGGGCCACTGAGAGCCAAACTTGTGCAATCCAACTGAAAAAGGGGAGAAATGCAGTATTAGCAAACAGAGGATTCCAAGATGGGAGTCCAGCCAAACATTCTGCGTATTTAAAACCTTCCATCTTTTTTTTTATTGAAAAGTTTTATACAAATTTATTATAACAATACAATAACCCTCCCACCCTTCCCCCCCCCACCCCAACCCTCCCACCCTCACTTCCCAGAGCTGATTACAGGGTTAAAAAAAAAATAAGCAAACAAATTTTAACTAAGCTTATCCAACTATACCAATAACCAAATTCCTAAAATACTTTAACTCAAATACAAACAACTTCCAGTTTAAACTATAAGTTAATCAAAAACTAAATAATACTTTCTAATCCCATATTTATTCTGTACAAAATTTATCCATCTTCTCCACACCGAGATGTATCTTTCTTGTGAATGATCTTTCAAATAGGCAGAAACCTTGGCCATTTCTGCTAAATTAGAAACTTTAAACAACCATTCTTCTATGGTAGGTAAAGAATCTTTCCTCCAATATTGCCCAACCAATAACCTTGCCGCCGTAATAAGATTCAACGTTAAAATAGTTTCTTTAATATCACAATCTTCAATAATACCTAACAAAAACAACTGTGGTGTAAACTTTATCTTTCTATTAAAAATCTTCTGAATGTTCCACCAAAAAACCTTCTATCTTTCAGTCAGCAGTTTTAAAATACACATTATTATGTGTGAGTCTACTGAAGTTGGGTGGCTAATAAATTCAAATACATACATTTTTAAAAACTACTGTTGTCAAACAAGAAAAAAAATCAAGGAAACAGTTGTTCCACTAAAGAGAGAAGATAGCAAGGAACTAACAGGCAGCAGAGAGAAAGCAGAGCTACCTAAACTCATTCTTTGCATAGGTCTTCATGCAAAAATAAATTATAACCAAACCCACCAAAACCATAACTGAAAAAGACAGACTAGAAATAAAAGCTAAAATAAACAAAAAAAATAGTAAAAGAACATCTCTCTGATCTTGATGAAGATAAATCACTGGGACCTGACGGACTACATCCCAGAGTTCTGAAGGAACTGGCAGATGTGATCTCAGAACCACTGAACTATATTTTTCAAAAATCCTGGAGCACTGGGGAACTACCAGAGGACTGGAAAACAGCTGATGTGGTTCCCATCTTCACAAAAGGAGTAGTAGTAGTAGTAGTAGTAGTAGTAGTAGTAGTAGTAGTAGTAGTAGTAGTAGTAGTTGGAAGGGACCTTGGAGGTCATCTAGTCTAACCCCTTGCTCAGGCAGTAACCCTATACCATTTCAGACAAATGGCTGTCCAGTCTCTTCTTAAAAACTTGCAGTGTTGGAACATTCACAGCTTCTGGAGGAGGTTGTTCCACTGATTAATTGTTCTAACTGTCAGGAAATTTCTCCTTAGTTCTAGGTTGCTTCTCTCCTTGATTAGTTTCCATTCATTGCTTTTTTGTTTGGGAACTTCTCATTGCTATTGTGCCTCTGCAATCAGAAATCTGATGACACTGGAGATAAAGGAATTAAACATCAAGAGTAATTTGGAGGGGACAAATTAAGAGGAACTCTGAATAACCCACCCTGGAACAGGGGGGAAAGTGAAGCTGACCTATTGTATTACCCTAAAACTTGGGAACTACAATGTTCATTTTCCTTTGCTGGCAGAAGCCGTAGGATCTGACTTTGTCAGATTATATTTAATTCAGGTGATAGCACTTAAATTGAGGGCAAGTTCAATAAACTTTAACTTCAGCCTTGGGAAAACATCATACTGGTTGACACACCTCCATTCCTGAGATAAAGGACTGCCCAGATCACTTGCAGATTTTGGATGCCATGCTACATTACAGATTTGCTTCTCAGACACATAGCATTCTGAAGAACCCTCAAACACTGACATATTGTTCATTTTATGTCCTGTTTTTCAAGCAGTTTTGTGTGCCAAAATGACTCAAGTCATAAAAAAAGATACTGAGCTGGACCTGCCCTGAGGCTTAAAGTCAAAAAAGACAAGGCACATGGGAGATGAGAAATGGTAGGAAAAGAAGAAGAGTCAGATTGATTGTTCAAGGCCAAAATGAAATAGTAAGCAGCAAGGTGGCATTTATACATAGTTCAGTCTGGGCTGGTTTTAACTTCCTGAAGCTCTTGCTTAAATAGAAAGTTGTGGCAATTGTTCCTTGTTTGGATGATAGATGGGGCCAGAGTTGGTGTGGCAGATGGATGGAGGTGCAGTGTGGCTCTCCAGTCCCAGGGCAACTGGAAGCAATAAAGTGCAAAACAGATTCTTTGCATCTGCCTTTTTCTTACCACTGTAAACATGAACACAACAACACATATGTATACCTACCCTTTCTGCCCTGACCAGTGTACATTTGAGGATTCACGGCAGCACGACAGAACACAGCAAACACAAGATTGTTTGACTTGTACATATTTTAATCTTATATTTTATGTTGTATAGTATGCCTTATTTTAATTGTGATGCTTCTGATGCAAATAAACAAAAAAAAAACACTGTAAACAGGCCATTATATATTTTCGGGAAAACCTGGATGCAATCTCCCAAGAGCTCTTGATCCATTGATGGATGAATGAAGATGAAGTGTGTGCTAGCTTTTCTCTTTCCCATTCCAAGAAATATACCTTTCTCAATGAAATTCATCATCAGAACATCAGAGACACTGACAAAATGGTACTGTAATACTTCAAGTAGACAGATATGAAATGGCAATAAGGAATGGACTTATGACATATTCTAAAGTCTCTCAGCCCAAATGCTTGGGCAATGTTATGCTGACACAAGAGGCCCAATGAGGAAGTTCATGGACAAATGTATTTTTTTCCTTTTTCTTTAAGATTTTTTTCCTTTTTTTCGAAATTGCATCAATTTGGTAAGAAGTGCTATTTCCTCTTAATGTTGCCTCAAACAGATAGATCAGGGTGACCTAACCTACCTGTACCAACAGCCTATGAATAAGCACAGGAGAAGAAAGGGATCTTCTCTTACTGTTGCTTCTCTTTTGAGCTAAACTACGCTCTTAGATCACTCTGCACTGGTGCCTAATTTATCTCTATTTTCCCCAACACTTCACTTTTTCCTTTAGTTGTCATTTTTATTAGTCTATAATTGCAGTGCGGCAACATCTATACCAGGGGTCTTCAAACTGGCCTCTTTTATGACTTGTGGACTTCAACTCCCAGAATTCCTCAGCCACAAGTCATAAAAGGGGCCAGTTTGAAGACCCCTGATCTATACTAAGTAACAATGACATTAAAATGGCAATATATCCATAATTATTGCATAAATGGTATGACATCACAAAATCTAATATAAGTATCATGAGGTATCATTTGTATCATGCCATTATGTGTCATTATTTGCCCTTTCCATCACTGACTCCTCAGAGGCCTACACTATGGGAGCCTTTCAAACTGATGACAAGCTACATAATTAACAAACAAGTATATAATAGGACAAGAGTCACACTCTGGGTGAAGATGGCTTCTAGAGAGGTTGTTGTATCCTGTTCATGATATTACAGGTCACAGACTGCCTTTGTATGTTTATTTCAAATTTGTGTGATTCTTGTGGGCCTCTTCCTCTAATAACTAACTATAGTTCTGTCCAAAGATCTTCACTCAGTGACAAAGCACATGCTCTGTGGGCAGAAGGCTCAATTGCTGAACATCTTTTTTTTTTAAAGATCTTATTGATAGATGGTTTCTCATTCAAGATAACCCTTAATAATAGATTCTAGCCAGAGTGCAGAATATATTAAGCTGATTATTCCAAAATGTTACTACGCTCCCAATTCTACAAATACAGTGAAGAAACTCATGAGTCAAATTGGGCTTACATGCTTGTAGGTCAATGCTAATCATTTGCTGTTTTCTTCTGCTTTTCATACCCAAACATATATTGGCATACACATCTAATGATTAATCATTCAGCTATACTTTGCTACCAACTAATTCCTCTCTAATTTCTCCTGCAGAACCCATTTAATATAAATACTGTAGGCTATGATTTTATAAATTTAAAATATCCAATTAAAGCTAATGAATGTTACAGATATGAAGCCAATATCTTGATGGCTTTGAAGATACAGAACCTGGAAAATGCTAACAGCTTGGCTACATTAAATAAAATCCATTTAATGCTAAGTGTTCCCAGACACACAAATAGCCTTTCAAATTAATCTACAAAAAGTGACAAAAATCTGCTAACTGAGCACTAGGTATTATTAAGATAAATGTTTAGGGCTTAAAGGATGTTCTTTTACATTTCATCTTTACCTTAAAGAAAGCAATTTTGTGAGCCTTTATTTTCAAGCTGCAGACTATATCACTCAGGCTGCGGTAGTAAAAGATCCGTTTACTTAACACACTATTTTTTAAAAAAAAAATGCAATATGGACATAGCTGACACTTACTGGGATTCAACATTTTCCTCCCTGCTTAAATTCCAAGGAAAATCTGCATCTAAAATGTTTTTTGTTTAGATTCCACTGGCCCTGATGTGATCCACCCCCAAAGCAAACACCATCAATAGAAGAATTATTTCTTTAGTACTTAAGCAGAGGGAAAAAAAATTAGAATCCTCCTCTATTCTTACTCAAGTCTCAGTAATCATCCACAGCTGGGATTAATTGCAGTTAGGTTTCACATCTGGTTGTGAAAATGGGCTAAACAGATCCTGTTAATCTGGAATTTCCTATTTTGCTACTCTTATCCAAGCTTACTAGACTCAGTGGTTCCAATGGAATAAAATTCTCTTAAAAAAATAACTTGAGGACATGCAATTGAATAAATACATGTTGCTATGCTATTGGCTTTCCCCAGCTCTACTTTATTGAATTTCATTTACTCGCTTTTTCTTTTACTTACTTTCTCAAATTTTAGCTTATAAGCTTTTCATGGGACATGGTAAAGCTCCATGAATAGAGACGGTGCTATATAAATAATTATTCTTCTTCACACAAGAACATATCTGTGACAA